AAAAACCTCTAACAGGTAATCATTGTGGATGTTTTTATAGCATGTTAAAATGGAAGAAATCTTAGAACCTTCACCTTGGATGGCAGTTCGTATTTCGCTCAAATGGTTGAAGGAAGATAGTGCATCAAGCTGTTCGCAGGGTCAACTTGATCCTCTTCCCCAAAGATTCCATAATATGGAATATTTTCATCAAGTTTTTATTTATCAGGAGTTTTTTCACAAGCATATACATGTGTCCAACAAACTTTCCAAAAGGTTTTGCAAAAAAAAAACAAACCATTGTCAATGTTCTTGTGGTGATTTATCTATTTAATAGACCGATGGACTTTTGTAATTAAAATTTATAGCTAGGGTTTCATGAGGACCTTAATAATGTAGATATAAAATGGTAATAATCCAAGAAACACCAAATTATGACAGGAAAAAGTTAATTCCTAGTCTTTATCTGTTATAGGTTGCTACAGTATCATATCAAAACTTATTTTTGAGTTCTTATATATAATAATGATTAAAGAGAAACCATACATGGATTGATCCAAAAAACTCTATCAAATACATAAATTCTTGAAATATGTAAAAGCATACAAAATCTTAAAGATTAACCCTAAAACTTTATTCTCAAAAAAAAATCCAAAGGCATAAGGTAACATGGAGGATAGTAAGGACGTGCAAGTGGTGACGTCATAGACAAATATGTCACTAACTCACAATTTGTTGCCATGGGTGATGGGAATCCATGGCAATAGTTTTGGGTTTGGACCGGTTATTGATATATCCGTCGTTGAAAACCGATAACTAAAATTGTTTTTATAATCAAACCAATTACAAATAATGTATTATATTAAATATAAAAGTAAATAGAAATTCAAATATCATATAATTAACATCACGATTTCACAATTAGATTAATAAACTAGACTTTTTCATTACCCTTATTTGGGTTGTTGAGATAAAATGGATAAAAATCTTTTAAATTTTAATGATACTATTTTTTAATGATATTATATACATATATATATATATGTATGTATGTATATAAATCAAACTTAATATATATATATATATATATATATAAACATATCGGGGCGGGCCAGGGCGGTGATCACTGTACCCGTCCCTGTTAAATTCCCCGAATATGTCATCGATCTCTGCCCCATCCCCGATTAGATGTCTCTGAATCCGACTCGAAAGTTTCGATTTTCACCATCGGTTTCGGGTTTTTTTTATCATCTCTATGGGAGGCTTGGATGCATTCTCGCACCATCGGTGCCCTTACCCCATTATAAAATTAGATTTTTACATAATTAAATAAAAATATATACACTTAAAAAATGACTTTAGGTTGAATATAGCTAATTTATTTTCTTATCATATTAAAAAAGCCCCGTAAAATATTTATAAACACCTAGCTTAATTAAATATTATTAAAAGTAAATTACGTTTTCACCTTGTGGTTTATTGAAAATTGCGACTTTTATCTTTATGGTTTTGAAGTTGTTGTTTTCGTCCCGTATATAATTCATTTTTATGTTTGTCCCTGAGGCTAAATACTACTTTTAAATACGAGAGACTAAAGGAGAAATAACTTGTAAAGTATAAGAACGGAAAATAGAATAAAAAATAAAATATTCCAACAAACCGCAAGGACTAAAAAGGTAATTTGCTCTATTGTTTAAATTAACATTTCAAATTTTCAATAAACTCTAAATTTTCTTTTGCCAATTTTCTTTCAATTATACTGCAGATTGTTATTAGTTAGTAGTAATTTTTAGTTATAATTAACTATCATTACTACTAATTAATATTAATTGTTTAATTGTTAAATTAATTATCATTGTGAACTATTATTAATTATTTTATATCATTATTCAACAAATTTAACCGGACAAAAATCAAATATAATAGTTATAAAATTGCTTTTGTAAGTTACAAATATTAAAGTTTTACTTATTTTATTTCATAAATAGTAAAACTTCAATAAAATATTTGATTTAATTATTAATTATTTTATTAAAAAATATTAATTAATTAAGATATATACTTTTGACAAACTCTGTTTTTATTCATACTATAAACAATGGTTATTTAAAAATCAATAGCTAACATATGTGTTTATATATATATATATATATATATATATATATATATATATATAGGTCCAATACCTGGATGAACTCAAAATTTATGAAATTCATGAATACATCATATGGCACTAATTTAAAATAATTAATATCATTTATTAAATAAAGATTAATACATTTGTTTTTAAAATTTTGAATGCCATAAATATCTCTTTTTCTCTCTCCTCTTTTATGTAACATACACGTATATATGCACATAATTAAAAGTATACATAAGGTGAACACATTAAATATACACAATTAAACCTGCACATAATTAGAGTGTATTCATAAACTATAGTAATATCTTTAAGAAAATATTCACAATGGTGTTCATGACACTTTGTACACTTCAATTATGTGTATGTGCATGTATGTTATAGAGAGATGAGAAAGAGAAGAAAACAGAGACTAGAGAGAAGAGAGAAGAGAGAGAGAGTGTGTGTTTAAATTATATTAGATATTAGTTTTTAACAGATTTTTATGGCCTAAATTGGATTTTATGGATCTTACGAATTAGAAAACTTTCAAAATAAGACTCACTTATATTTATGTGTTTGCATATTAATAATAAAAAGTTATATACATATCGTTCTTTCTATTCTAAAATAAGTGTTTATGTTGCTATTATAGTTTGTACTAAAATAAGTGTCTATTTTTTCATTCTATCGTTAATTATGAGATGCATACATTTTTTGTCTATATAAGTAAGGTTAAAATTGTCATTTTATTCATTAAAAAGTGAAATAATTAATTACACAATTTAAAACTGTATGTTTTTTTCTTTGTGGACATTTATTTTGGGATGGAGGGAGTATATTGTTTAGTTTCTTTATCATTTGAGTTGTATTAATTAACATATTATAGTATTAATGATTTATCTTTGATTATACTACATAATATTAAAATTGATTGATTTTTGTCATGTCTTCATATATCAATTTACACTTCTGATCAATTGGTTTATCAACTAGTTTTGATGAATGTGATCATTGCATCAGCTAGTTTTTCAACTATTAGTTAGTTTTTCAACTATTAGTTAGTTTATCAAGATATAAAAGAGTACATTCTTCTCATATTCTTTCAATATTAGCAAATCTGTCACCTAGTTTAGGATCACAGGTCTTACCTTCCTTACTTCCGCAACATATTTGTAATTCTTTGTTTTATACGAAATATAAAAAAAGAAACTAAAAGTGAAAATTTGTTTTATTTGTATTCAACCTCACTTCTGCAAACACATGTAGTATAAGTCATTCTCCAAGGACCAAAATATCCACTTCCGTTCCAAGAATCCAACAAAAACATTTTGGAAAACTAGCATTATCCTACCCCTATATGCAACATGATCGTGCAATATATATACTTGTAAAACCTAGATTTTGTTATTTCAATTTGTGTTTAGATTGTGATTCGACTTGTAATCTCTTTAATTAATCAGATCCTCCTTATGATAAGAGCGTACGTCATTCTTTTGATGATCACGAAATCTTGTCTATAAATCCATGAGTTGTTTATTTGCGTCTTTTCTTTGATTATTTTTGTTGTGTTATCCATATTGTTTGTTCGATTTAAAGTTGCTCTACATCCGTTGCTGGTAAATGCCATATTTTTATCGTTGTTTTTTGTTAAAGTTTAAATAGCTTCATTTTTAATGACCATATGATCTAATCCCAACAGTATATACATTAAGGAATTTAGAAAATAATTATTGAAATCAGTGATCTTATTATTGATTCATTATTTATATATGCATTTTATTTGAGATTAAGGTTTAAGGGATCTCATTTATTAAACATTTTACAAGTTAGCACTTATTATTCTCACTTATATTATCAATTAAGGTTTAAGGGATCTCATTTATTATTTGGCTACCTGTTTCCCTAATACTATATTTAAATACAACCAACATCGTGTCATGTGCAACGTAAAATTTATGTTATATATAAATCACTATACATGTATAATTATAGATAAAGATAAAGACAAAGACCCAAGCCTATGAGTCAACTCAACGTATGAACGCAGATTTGTGTTCATACCTATATTTGGTCTTATTTTATCCATTTACTTGGGTGTTGAAGCAAGGGAAGTGGGGTTAACTTTAAGGAGTGAGATTTAAAATATGAATCGAGAGAATTTCATGTTTTAATTTTGTAAGTATCATTAATTTTGTAATCTTATGCTTATTAATTTAAAAACGTCTCTAGGCTATTATATGAATCCTACATAACTGTATGCCAAATTTGGGATATATAGCATTATGTTATAAAAAAAGTAAGTTATCAATGTTTGTATATTTGATTTGATATAAAGTATTTTTATGTACACGAAAAATTGTAACACTTTAATTCAATACTAATTAATGAATAAATGTATTTTAATTAATACGAACAATGTTTAATTGCTTGGTCGAACTTTTGATGCTAACGAAGTAAAGATGTATAGTAGTTTGTCACTTCGTCGAAAGTTGATGATATTCAAAGAGTTGATTATAACAATCATAACTTATGTAATTCGATAGACTAGTTCCACATAGATAGATCGAGATCGAGATTTGTGAGTTTTTTTATAAGTCTAGTTGTATAAGTTGTCAAGTTTCAATAACTCACATAATGATTTTAACATAAACCAAAGGTTATTAGGTTAGTTTTGTTGCTATTGTTATAGTCTTGAGGCATTACAAAAATTAGTTAAGATTCGATTTAATTTCCTACAAATTAATGTCAATTCTAGTGATCAACTGTTGTTTTGTACAAGGGCAACATGAATGAAAAAGATACCATTTTCAGGAATATTAGGAGTGAATGGTCAAAGAGTAGTGGAGAGTAGACCCAATTTTCAAAAGAAAAAAGTCACAAACAGAAGTAATGATAGTCTTCAATTTAAGAAATCCATATTGTCGTCTACATATGTATCCAAAGTTGACCAATAAAACTCATTGGTCATCATCATATCCTGGCAAGAAGGTGGTTGAGAGATGAAATCATTGACAAAATTAAAAGGTGACAATAAGGTTTCGCTTGATGGTCCGATGCCACCATTATCTGGTAGAAATGGCTCCGTCCAAAAATTACCAACCACTTCGTCTTGAAATGTTTGTGGCCAAAGATCACTTAAAACCCCATAATCTGGATACGATGATAATTCTGTGCGTGAAGAAGATGATGGTGATTCATCAGATAATATTTCTGCCAATAAACTGTCAACTTCCTGCTGATCAAGTTCTACATCTATTTCTTTGAATGGATTTTCGTTTACGTTAGCCTGATCATCGGATTCAAGGGTTCCAATGTGTTCATTTTCAGCCACAGTTTGGTGATCACTGATCAGAGCTCGTTTCTTCAAATGTGTGTTCCAACGATTCTTGATTTCATTGTCACTTCTTCCTGGCAACTTTGAAGCTATTGCTGACCATCTGCAAATAAAAGAGATCAAATTTCTATTTAGAATCATCAAACTCAAAAAATCTCTACTTCTTAAAATCTGGTCAACAGCAAAGATGATTGAACTTACTTGTTGCCTAGCTTGTTATGTAAATCAATAACCAGATCATCTTCTTCTTTTGTAAAATTTCCATGTTTCATGTTTGGGCGGAGGTAGTTCATCCATCTCAATCTGCAGCTCTTACCACTTCTAGACACACCTAAAGATTAAGAGAAATCAAAAAACAATATATACACAGGTGTCCAAATTAATCGATAAAAAAGATTCAAGAACTTAGAAAAGGATTCCTCATATATATACCAGCAAACTTGGGAAGTAAACCCCAGTTCCAATGACCGTATCTCTGGATGTAGGCTCTTAACTTGTTGTCTTCATCTTCACTCCAAGCACCTTTTTTCACTCCATTTTTGTCATAACATGATGCTTTTACCATCTTTTTGCCTTCCATTCCAACTGATCTTTTCAGATGTTTAGGACTTATATTAGTCGAGAATGAAGTTTCTGATCCAAGAACACTCCTATATATACGGGTAGATGTGTCCAATCACAACGTGCTCCAATTGAAATAATAGTACTTTATTTACATAGATTAAAGGAAAATGAATGATGGTAAAGACAAATCATTCACTAATTATTACAGAAGAAGCACCAACCATGAAAGTTCCTAGTTTTGATTTAGACGAGGTAAGGAGGAGGGACCCCCCTCCCCTCATAAAATATGTATTGTGGCATCTTTTGATTGATTTAGGGTTCTTTAAGGACGTACAACACACACACACACACACACACACATATATATATATATAATGTTATATATCTATAGTCATGTGTCATCGGCTTTTCATTAGTCGATGTGACTTTTGCTTCATTCTGAAGTCTATTCTCCTTCATGCTGACTGATCAACGACAAATCTGGTGGCCTATCTTTGGTGACTCCGGACACAGAATTCGAAAACATTTAATGAAGGTCATGATTTGAAGGATTTAATTCCATGTTTTAGATGTTTAATTCTCAAAAGATCTTGTTCATTGATGTTTCCAGGTTTTCAAAATCGGGGGCTGCATGAATTCCTGCATTTTCCAAAAGATCAGACCATCGTATTATTGCTTTCAAAGAAAAGACTTTTTATCATCATCTATATGCAAGTTTCTAAATAACTCATTATGGTGGCGTTATAGCATCGAACTTGGTTTTGTCTCCACACTAACCCCTATAACTTCAAGCGAAGGTTTGATTTGCATTGTAATATGTTATGGTGCCTTATTTTGTAAATCATGTTAAGGCATGCGGTTTTTTTGTTTTTTTTTTTTTTCACTTTTTCTATATAGAACTTGATGATAAATTCTATTATGTGTCTATCTTAAGACTTGAATAAAAATGAAAAGGAAACATATAAACTAAAACTCTAAATAAACAAGTCCTTACTCTTGTCCGGACATACAAAGAATCGGTGATGAGTTCCTTGAATATTGAATAAAGTAATGAATAGAGATTGAATCTCTATTTTATACTATTGATATTTTTTTCTTATAAGTTCTATATATTTTATATGAGTGTTTCTTTTTTTTTATTACGTTACATATATATATATATATATATATATATGAAATTATATTGTTTTCTTGTATTGTTTAGAACACTAACACACACAAAAATTTATATTTATATGTTGGCTTATATACGTTATCCCTTAAAAAATGTCATGACTTCGTCATAACTCGTAACGTTTATAACGTGATAATCGTCACTACTCATTACATGTTATTTACAATTAATCTTGTCTAAAAAAACAGTTTAAGAATGTCATGTCATACCATTTCACTCCTCACTGTAACATGATTATGTAAAAGTTAATCATTCCAATTTCCACCGTCCATAAACATGGAAAACAACACAAAATTAATGAGAAATTATGATTCTTGTAAGTTAACAAGTCCGATGTCATCGAGGAATCTTTGTGAACAATAAGATCTCCAAAGATTTAAAAAAAAAAAGTTTATGGCGGGGACCTCATGGTCCCGTAGTCCACATTTTGTGAACCCTACTTGCCATACCTCATAAGCAAGCACAGGAAAAGACAAACTGTCCTCCCTGGAATCGAACCCGGATGGGCACGCCCAAGACAAGGCATTTACGGAAGGAGGTGGCCACTAGGCCAAGGTCTAATGGTTATCTCCAAAGATTTATCTGATTGGATACGAGTGCATAAAAGTTTGCAAGGATTTATTCTACTTGGCACATGGTTAAGTTGCCACCTCATGCATGTATGCTAGAGTGCACCTAACGCTAAATAAATTAAATACATACTATACATATCGGGAACATATATCATGATTAATTAATGAAACAAAAAAAATAAATCCCATATGCCCAATCTACAATAGTTAATGTTCATTTATCATTTTCATCTACATTTTAAAATGCTAATTAAAAGCATAATAAAGTGCCGAGATTGGAAGCTTAGTTTAGGATGGCAAAAAGTCTCATAGCCGATACCTGAACCCAGGCCCGGCCCTGGGCACGTGTAGCCCGTGCAACCGCACAGGGCATCAAAGCTCAAAGGGGCATCAAATTTTTATATAATATTAGTTTCGAGTTTTGGGGTTTAATAGTTTGAGACTTGAACTTTAATTATAAATAGAGACCCAACTGATCAGACTTGTTAATAACAAACCCAATGACTTGAATCGGTTACAATGGGATAGATGGATCACAGTTCAGAAGACGATTGACTTTGACGATTTCTATTGCTCTTTGAATGTTCGAGTTTTTCGATTTTTGATTTTTGATTTTCGACGATGATGTTCCAGTTTTAGAGGAAGACAATTAATGGTGACGAGTCTAACGATGTCCATGGGACGATGGATCGATCTTGATGATTGGTCGATGCATTGCCGACTGCCCGTATATTTACTCGAATACATGATTGTCGATTAAACTCTCAAATTTCAATCCTTCATTCTTTCTCAAATCTCAATCCTTCAAATCTAGATACAGTCGAATGCATTTGTATTTCTTCAAATCTGGATTCTGGAAGTGGAACTGTGGAAGTCGATTGCATTGTTTCTAAAACCAAGGTATGATTTTGTTTCTAAATTCTAACATAGTAACATTTAATTGATCAAYTTTGACATTATGCATTCATTGTATTTCCAATTAATACAAGCTCTCTTATCATCTTATGATAATGGTAACTGACTTGCTGAATATTGAATATGAAAAAGTAATTGATATTTTTGCTTCAAGAAGTGCACGAAGACATCGTTTTAGTTGATATATTTATATTTGTAATTTGGGGTTTTGGTTTTTATGTTTCCCTTTGTATTTTTCATGCTAATTAATAAAATTCGGCGTAAGGTTGAGCTGCCTAGCTTGACTAGGTTCCAAACCCTTTAGTAAAATCGTATTTTTCATCGTTTCATTTGCTTAAAATATAGACATAAGGGCATTTTTTAGTATCTTCGCACAGGGCATCAAAAACCTCAGGAACGGCACTGCCTGAACCTGATTTGATCGAGGAATCTTCAAATTGATCGAGAACAGAGACGGGATGGGAATCCCCAAATGTGTTAATCAGAGATGGGGATACCCCTCAAACCAAGCCCCAAGTATTTATTAGTAAGTTTTTATGTATAGTATACAAATATATGTGTGTGCATGTATAATATTATAATAATGATAGACCCAATAACTGTATATAACACATAAATATAATCAATTTTTGATGATGAATTTTTTTTCAAAAGATATTATAATGTTGGTTTGATTACTCGAATAAGTTTTGGTGATATAACAACGTTGATGTATAAAATTGAATTATTAAATTTTGAAATTGATATATTTATTTATGAGCTAGTCGTATCACTTGTGCAAAAACAAACATTAACATTTGATTGACTAAACTTTTAAAGTAATAAATGTGTAATTGACATTTATAATGATATTATAGAGAAAATTAATTTTTTGTAAACGGAGAAAAATCCTCGATTCCCAAATGGAGATTCCCGACTCCCGACTGGGATGAGTATGCGGAGCGGAAGGGAACTTGTTCCCGGACGAGGATGGGGATTGCAATCTTCGATCCTGTTGCCATCTATAGCTTACTTCCATTTGCCTATTACCTCAATATTTCAAATGCAATCATTTTCATTTGTACAACCAATGCAACCCAATTAATTGAGATATTTATGGAAATGATGAGAGTTCATTTATTATGATTTGAATATTTATGTAAGATTAATAAGGTTAATTAATTATGATCAATACTTTATACTAGAAAACAATCAAAACTTGTATGAAATTACATATTCATCAAATTAAATGGATGGTTGAGATTGAGTTGTATTGGTTGTACAAATGTAAAGAGTTGTATAATAACCAATATATATATATATATATATATCTATACTATATTATA